TAATCAGATTTTAAAATTAATTCATTATTTAATAAACTAATAATTAAGAAAAACTAGTTAATTAAATGTTGATTGTGGCTGTAGACATCGAAATTTCGGTAAATAAATGTTGACCGATAAATCAAAGTGTCAACGCTCATGTATTACATAAATTTTACACGTAGCATGTGATTAAACGAAAATTGAAATGAGTTGGAAAAGTCATCAAATAGGACATGTGTCAACACCTGGCAGAAACGACTTATTTCATCTGGGATATTATATTCAAAATTAGGCATTGGAAAATTCTATAAATACAAGCCCATTTCATTCATTTAAAGGGACCAATTCATATTACACCTTGAAGCTCTGAAGCTCTGAAACTCCGAAGCTCTCAAGCATCCAGGTTCCCGAAGAATCAAGAAAGCCTTCTTCGTTCTTCGTTCATCGTTCTTCCAAGATCAAGCCCCGACGGCCCTTGAAGAAAGTGTTCTTCGTTCATCGTTCTTCCAAGATCAAGCCCCGACGGCCCTTGGATCAACCATCCACCAATTCAAGATCAAGCCCCGACGGCCCTTGAAGAAAGCACCATCGTTCATCATCCGTTCATCCAAGATCAAGCCCCAACGGCCCTTTGGATCAACAACGTCGACAAATCCACACATCCAACCGTTCTTCAAGATCAAGCCCAAAAACCTTTGAAGATCCGTTCATCACTGTTCTTCAAGATCAAGCCCAAAAGCCCTTGGAGATCCGTTCGTCACTGTTCTTCAAAGATCAAGCCCAAAAGCCCCTTTGAAGATCCGCTCAAATCCACCTTCAAGATCAAGTCCACGGCCCTTGAAGAACGTTCATCCTTAGATTAAGCCCAACGGCCCTTTGGATCAATCACACATCCACAAATACACACCTTACGGAGATCGAATCAGAGGATCAAAATAGAGAGAGATTGTAACCCAAAACCATCAAATACAAATATTTGTTTGTGCGCGTCGTTTCTTGTCTCTTTTGTTTCAGGAATTTTCCGTGTTCACAAATTGGCACGCCCAGTGGGACGATCTCTGCCTCTCATCTCTTTCTCCGTTCAAGAAATTCGAGCACACTTCCAAAATTAATGGCATCAAGGAAGACTCAAACTGTTCCCGCAACCGGCGCAAAGAACAAAAGCGTCCTCGTCGCAACTGGTGTCACTTTGGGCATCACGACTCGAAGCATGGCAAGAGCTACTTCTGCCGCCTCTTTCACCTCTGCATCAACTATGCCAAGGGAACAAAAACACCCAAGGCATGAGCCTTTGATCACCTTAGCCTCACTAAGGGCACCAAGGGGGGAAAGCCCAAGGAAATACTCCGAATCCATGCTCTCCGATGCCGATTCAAGCGACAGTCCAGCCATGCAAGTCATGACTATTGGAGCAACTTCAATCGATGAGCAGCTGGCTCAAATGAATGAAGCAATCGCAAGGCTAACCCGAACTGTGGAAGAAAAAGACTTGCAAATTGCAGCACTAGTCAACCGACTGGAGGCGCAGGACGGCGATAAACCCGACCCAGAGGATGATCCACTAAAGGGAAGAGCTGGCGGAGACGAAGAACCCCCGGTGAAGAAAATCGATGGGAAGCCGGAGCCAGACCAAGCAGCGGCACTCATGGGATCTCTTTCTATCCAGCAGCTGCAAGAGATGATCACCAACACCATCAAGGCACAGTACGAAGGGAGCTCATGTACCTCCGGATTGTACTCAAAGCCGTATTCAAAGAAGATCGACGCCTTAAGGATGCCGAGGGGTTATCAACCACCAAAGTTCATGCAATTTGATGGAAAGGGAAACCCGAAACAGCACGTGGCCTACTTCGTTGAAACTTGCAACAACGCAGGAATCGAAGGGGATTACCTCGCCAAGCAGTTTGTGCGCTTGCTGAAAGGAAGCGCCTTTGAGTGGTACACGGATCTGGAGCCTGAGTCCATCAACAGTTGGGAGCAATTAGAGCGGGAATTCCTCAACCGCTTCTATAGTACCCGCCGCACTGTGAGCATGCTAGAGCTAACGAGCACAAAGCAGTGGAAGGACGAGCCAGTCATTGACTACATCAACAGATGGCGCACTCTAAGCCTTGACTGTAAGGACAGGCTCTTGGAAACCTCTTCAATCGAGATGTGCATCCAAGGCATGCAATGGGGTTTACAATACATCCTTCAAGGCATTAAACCGCGGACCTTCGAGGAATTGGCCACTCGCGCCCATGACATGGAGTTGAGCATCGCCCATCATGGGAAGAAAGAACCGGTCACCGACTACAAGGACGACAAAGTTCTTGGGACAAAGGCGGAAAAGACTGCATGGAAACCCACCAAGGAAGCGATGACGGTCAATACAGGTCCCGTCAAAATCTCCACACGAGGCAAGGTGATTCAAAACGAAGCTTTTCGTGATCAAGAGATGCGTAGACGCACTTTGAAGGAGCTTGAGGAGAAGACTTATCCATTCCCCGACTCTGATGTGGTTGCCATGCTGGATGACCTGTTGGACAAGAAGGTGATCAGTTTGCCTGAGTGCAGACGGTCGGAAGAGATGAATCGTACCGACAATCCAAGATACTGTAAATTCCATCGCTTCATCAGTCATCCGACAGAAAAATGTTTCGTGCTGAAAGATCTTATCATGAAACTGGCTCAGAAAGGAATCATCGAGCTAGATCTTGACAAAGTGGCGAAGTCAAACTATACCACCTTCACTTCTGGCTCTTCCGACTCAAAGTTTTCACCTCAACCGCTGGGGGCATCGTCCAAGACAAGCAAAATTGAAGGATGGACTCAAGTCACTCCTAAGAAATTGCACAAGAAGCATACGTCTCCTCCACATGTCCGCCAATTGGAAAGGGGGCAAAGCAGCTCTTGTCAACCTTCAAAGCAACATAAACGTGTTGAAGATGATGAAATTTCGACACATAGATCGTCCATCCCTATCACAATGCGTGATTTCTTTCCTGAAGACTTCTTCAATCACTCGGTCAAGGCTCATTGCTATGAAGATTATGAGGAACGCCTCTCCAAAATTGCTTGACAAACACACCAACGCTCCTTGCCTGCACGAGCTGAAACTGCAACACGGCACCAAATGCTCCTTGTCTGCACGAGTTAAAACTGCAAACGACACCAACGCTCCTTGCCTGCACGAGCATAAAAGGCAACACCAACGCTCCTGGTCTGCACGAGCATAAAAGGCGACGACCCAAAGCTCCTTGCCTGCACTAGCCTAAACTGCATGGCACAATGCTCCTGGTCTGCACGAGCATAAAAGGCAACACCAACGCTCCTGGTCTGCACAAGCATAAAAAGCAACACCAACGCTCCTTGCCTGCACGAGCTGAAACTGCAACACGGCACCAAATGCTCCTTGTCTGCACGAGTTAAAACTGCAAACGACACCAACGCTCCTTGCCTGCACGAGTTAAAACTGCAAACGACACCAACGCTCCTGGTCCGCACGAGCACAAAAGGCGGCACCAAATCGCTCCTTGCCTGCACGAGTTGAAACTGCAAACGGCACCACCAAAAGAAAATACAAAAAAAATATGTATGTATTTGAACTACGTTTTGACTTGATCTCTTTCTTTGGAAGGGTACGTAGGCAGCTCGAGCATTCAAAATTTTGAGTTCAGTCACATCAAAATATAAATAAATGTTTTATTAAAGAAAGTCAATTTTATTAAAAAAAAAATGATGAATACATATGTTTATGTATTTAAAAAAATAAAAATTCCTTATACATACATATATATATATATATATATATATATATATATATATATGTCTTCTATCTAGCAGCAATAAACCCATCAAAAGGAGGTTGGCCAAGCCCAAAGCCTATTGTCCAAATCCAGCTCCAAGAAGAAGAAACCCAAATCAAACCAGGCCCATCTCCTTCCTTGTCCACCAATTTCAAAACCGGGCCCAGCTCTCAAAGCCCATCTTCACAAGTCTCACTCTCTCTGCTAAAATGGCTGCGGGGAATGTGAAACCGAGCGAATCGATGGTCTCGATGATCGTCCTTCCTTCTCCACCGTTCCGCCGCCTACTCTCGTCTTCTCTCGGTCGGAGCTCCACAAAGCCTTCAGATGCAATGGTTCAGGATTAGGGTTCAAAGGTGCTGGGATCAAATAGATTTGCAAAGCTTCAGAGAAAATGGTAGATCTGCTCTCGTCTTCTCTCGTCAGCCCTCATCTCCCCCATCTCTTTTTCAAACTTCTGGTGGCAGAATTGGTTGGTGAATTGTTAGAGTCCATCAATCCCTACCTACGACCATTCTCACCAAAACCCCCAACTTTCCCTTCCGCCAAGCTCCCACAATTGTAGAGACACCAATTTAGACAACTCTCGAAAGAGATTTTTTGAGAGAGAGATGGCCCAAGTGAGCAAAATCTGCAGCAATGGAGCTCAAAGCATCAATCTTTTGCCCAATGTTTCCAAACCCCAAATGCCCAGATCATCAAATTTTCTCCCATTGAAGTCCCAGTTTCTGGGTTCCTCAAATTCTTTGAGTTTGAAGCTGAAAAATGGGCTTGTGGGCAGTTGGACCGTCGGTAAAGTCAGGGTCGATCCGCTTACAGTTGCACCTTCAGTTGCCACAGCAGAGAAGCCGTCCACGGTTCCGGAGATTGTGCTGGCAACCTATCAGCAAAAAAAAAAAAAAAATCTGCCAGAATTGAATATCAAGGTATCTGGTGATCCAATAATGATCAAATTCCAGGATGTGAAACCGACTCCTGCTGGGACAGTGGCACAGTGTGTTTTGCTCCATTTGGATGGTTCAATCAATTTCAGCAATGTGGAATAAGGCAATATGTGTTCAGCAGTTCAACAAGGGCACTTCTCCATAGCGGTCAAGTCCATTGCTCATTCTCCAGCACCAGCCTATGACCTCTGTGAGCTTCAATCGCGACGGTTCGATTGTCGTCTCCGTCAGCCACGACGGGTCCTGTAAGATTTGGGACACCGAGTCGGGGACTTTGCTGAAGACGTTAATTGACGATAAAATCAGCCTCCGTCTCTCCCTTTTCAACTGCCTTAGACATCTCATCGATCGGAACCAGGGGTAGATAGCCGAAGATGGCATAGCCCTTACGGGTCAAGTCCTTTACGATGTGGTTGTATTTGCCAGACCAGTGCGCAGCGGTTGGTGCAGCCTTCTGTGCCACTGTGTGGATGGAAGGGTACTTGTTGAGTCCGACCCACAACTTCACAGATTGGTTCAAGACAAAGTTCTTGTACTCAGTAGCTGCATAGTGAATAGCTGCGCGTGGACCACCAGTTTCAGCCTCCCTTACAATTCTCTGCCCCTTTTCCGCTGCTTTCTGGATCAAGCAGTGCGCTTGGCTTGCAACCTGCTTGGCCACAGGAGCATGCTTGTCGAACTTGTCTGTGGCTTCATCCACCTTGGCGTCGAGGAAAGTGAGGACATCGTCAGGAACGCCCTTAAACTTCCGGTAAACGGGACCAACGACGGCGGTGACCGCTCCCTCTACCGTCCCGACCATCGATCTGAGCGGCCCGGAGTTCTGCTTGGCGTAATCGTACAGATTCGAAATGCACACCAGGGTCTGAATCGCCGCCACCCTCAGAAACCCTAGGTGCTTCAGTTCCTTCTCCTTGCCGATCTCTACTCCCTTATCGACGGTGGCCATCGTTTGCAGATTCTTTCTCTTCGCGGCGTTTTTTTTTTTGAGATTCCGGGAAGTCGCGACTGAAAGGGGAAAAAGGCTTCCGAAGATCCATACAGGTCATGTGAATAAAGTGTATTACATAACATCTACATTTTCTGTGACAAATGGTAAATACATTGTGAGCGGCTGTCAGAGGAATGGCGTGCATGATGACGGTGTGGGCTCGGTAGGAATTGACAAGGTGAAGTCTGTTGGCTGTGCTATGTGTCTGTGCTTAGTAGCGGTGCTCTATGGCTGTGCTCGATCAGTGGCGGTGCTCGGTGGCGGTACAGCGGCTGTGCAATGGCGGTTGTGCAAGGTAGCAAGAATGCAGTGGCGGAGCAATGGTTGTGTAGTGGCAGTGGCAAACGTCAAACGGCGGAGAGCTTCAATAACCGCCGTCAAACGACTAGCCGGTCATGAAGCCTCGACTGCAGCATCTCCGTCGTCTTCATCCTTTCCTACAAATTCCTCATCCCGTCACCCAAATTTATACAGAAAAGAAAAGAAAAAAAAAAAAAAAAAAAAAAAAAGGTGGTGGTGCATCTGGCACCATGTGAAAAAAAAGGGGAATGGTGGATCAAGCATCATGTGAAAGCAGACGAAAAAAATAATAAAATAATAAAAAAAAAAAAAAAAAGAGAAGGTGGATTCTTGGTGGCTAGCACCACGCAAAAAACAAAGGGAAAATGGGTTTTGGGATGGTGGATCACTCCACGCGAAAAAAAAAAAATATATATATATATATATATATATATACAGCAAAAAAAAAAAAAAAAAGCATTAAGAGAAATAAAGTCCGTTTTTATTTATTTTTTCTGGAAATTTTACATAAATTTGCATTATACATACTTAAAAAAAAAAAAAATCAAATCAAATTTACAAGAGAGGATCTTCAAGGACGATCAGGTGCCGCCTCACCACTCGGCAGAGCTCCAGAAATGAGAGGCGTCGGAGGTTGACTGTTTGAAGCCACACCACTCGGCAGAACTCCAGGAAGAAGAGGAGCCGGAGGTTGATCATTTGGAGCTTCATTACGCGGTACAGCCCCAGAAGACGAAGGCAAATGCTGCTGGAACAAACCCACAAACCTCCGATGATCAAGTAAAATTTGACCATCAGATTCTTGCATCTGGTCAATCTTCCTCTTCATGTTTGTCGCATAGCTATGTGCGAGCTTATGCAACTGTTTATTCTCCTGCTTGAGCTCTCTAATCTCCTGTTTGAGACTCATCACTTCCGCCGCCAATGATTCAACTTGACGGGTTCGTGCAAATAGGCGTTGGGCCATATTAGACATAGAACCTGCACACTGCACACTGAGAGCCAGAGAATCCTTAACAGCCAACTCATCAGACCGTTTGGAAAGTAGTCTGTTATCTCTGGGAGTGACAAGGTTTCGGGCCACCACCGCAGCGGTCATATCATTCTTCACCACTGAATCCCCAACGGTAAGAGGACCAGTAGGGGATATGAAGGATGGGCGCCATATGTTGTCTGGAGAAGGCGAGACTGCCTCTTCACCAAGGTTCAAATCAAAACGACGGTCGGAGGGCCCAGACATTTTCAAAGGTGTTGAAGAAAGAAGAGGTCGGACAAATTAAGATCTTAGAAGTGCAAGAGGGGAGTTTCTACAAGCGAAAATTCAAGTGTGCTTTGAAACGAACTGCGTGCCTCTATAAAAATCAGGACTCGACGGGATTTCAGAGATCAAAGAGGTGAGCTCAGAGTTCGAAAATGCCGATTCAAAAATCGAAGAGGCAAGCTCAGAAATCGGAGAAGCATCTTGCTTTTCCAGACGCGTTAGCACCCGTCACACGCAAACTCAGCTTTGCGGAAATCACGGGCAATTTGTTAAAGCGCCAATCCCAGGTATCGAAGAGGCGCCAGTCTTTTTCAGCCTCGTCAGCACCCGTCACGCGCAAACTCAGCTTTGCGAAAATCACGGGCAATTTGTCGAAGCGCCGATCCCAGATATCGAAGAGGCGCCAGTCTTTTTTAGCCTCGTCAACACCTATCACATGCACACTCAGCTTGACGAAAATTACGGACAATTTGTCGAAGATTTCTGATAAAGAAGAAAGCACGTGAAGCCATACTGATCAATCACGCATTGGTTACCGACACGAGTAAAAGAATAGTACCTCTACAGGTACTAAAGAAATTCCTATAACTGTCCACCTTCACCTTCCATACCAAGGCAGACATACAGAGCCTTTCTTCATCTCCAAAAAATGCTTTCCCAACGAAGCCTCTCGAGTCATTCAATGTTCCTTATTCTTTGGGGTACCTCTGCAAGCCAATGACTCCAAAGCAAAAGTATCTCATATCACCAGGGTAGAAAGCAAGAGTATCTCATATCATGCGTTCTCCCTGTCCTTTCCTTTGTCCTTGTTCTTACCTACAAAGACAAGGATAAAGAAAACAATATGCCGGAACTTCCACTCAAACTCGGGTAAGGAACCGACTGTTTGGAACCCTTCCCTGATTGCCTACCTAGCACTGCTCTCGAGTACTCGTTTCCCACTGCTGCTGTACTTCCAAAGAGGCTACCACATCTGCCTGAAGAATAGATAAGGCAAGTGAAAATGATACCTTGCAGCATATGGAGACAACGTGCAGAAGGAACAAGCAGAGAAGAATGCGGTCTGCACAGTCAACTCAGCAGAAGGAGCCCGAACTGAGGAACTCGAGAAGCTGCCACATCTGCCTAAAGAAACAAGTAGAGAAGAATGCAGCATGCACAGTCAACTCAGCAGAAGAAGTCTGAGATGAAGAACTCGAGAAGATGCCGCATCCGCCTGAGGAACAGTTAAAGGAAATGAAAATGATACCTTGCAGCATGTGGAGACAAGGTGCAGAAGGAACAAGCAGAGAAGAATGCGGTCTGCACGATCAACTCAGCAGAAGGAGTCCGAACTGAAGAACTCGAGAAGCTGCCACATCTGCCTGAAGAAACAAGCAGAGAAGAATGCAGCATGCACAGTCAACTCAGCAGAAAGAGTCTGAGATGAAGAACTCGAAAAGATGCCGCATCTGCCTAAGGATGGTGAACTCGTTTTGACCCTCAAATTCTTGGGTCGACTTACTAGGCGTTGTGGGCTGCACGTGCCGATTCACCACCCTTGAATCAAATCCTTAAAGACCAAGTCACCAACTGGAAGAAGAGCCCATCAATCTTGAAGATCATACCGTTGACCAAACTGCTCAGGTGTGAATTAGAAAGATTGAACAAAATAACAAGTCGTCACCTTCACCTCGTGCCTGCTTGCCATGTGTTCGAGTCAGCCTTCAAGAATCAAGCCTCAACGGCCCTTGAAGAAGCTTCCAGCCAAATTCAAAATCAAGCCTCGACGGCCCTGGAAGAAATCACAAGTCCGATTCAAGATTAAGTGTCTACCACCCTTGAATCAAAACCTAGTTCAAGAATAAGCTGTGGAAAATCAACAATTGGAGGAATCCAGAAAATCCTTCAACCCAGTTCAAGATCAAAGCTGTGGAAAGTCAACAAGCGCAACAAAATACGTGCCGATTCACCCACTACCAAAGCCAAAGATCATCTACCACATGAAGCTCCTTGTGGTCCAATTTCAACCTTCAAGATCAAGCCTCGACGACCCTTGAAGAAATTTCAAATAAAAGTTCAAGAACAAGCCTCAACGGCCCTTGAAGAAATCTCCAGCCCAATTCAAGATCAAGCCTCGATGGCCCTTGGATCGACATCTACAGTAAGGGACTTCAAAACGCATCTCCTACACATGACAAGCACATGTATACGACGTGCCTTGAAGTGGGGGCATTTGTAGACTTCGAAATTTCGGTAAATAAATGTTGACCGATAAATCAAAGTGTCAACGCTCATGTATTACATAAATTTTACACGTAGCGTGTGATTAAACGAAAATTGAAATGAGTTGGAAACGTCATCAAATAGGACACGTGTCAACACCTGGCAGAAACGACTTATTTCATCTGGGATATTATATTCAAAATTAGGCATTGGAAAATTCTATAAATACAAGCCCATTTCATTCATTTAAAGGGACCAATTCATATTACACCTTGAAGCTCTGAAGCTCTGAAACTCCGAAGCTCTCAAGCATCCAGGTTCCCGAAGAATCAAGAAAGCCTTCTTCGTTCTTCGTTCATCGTTCTTCCAAGATCAAGCCCCGACGGCCCTTGGATCAACCATCCACCAATTCAAGATCAAGCCCCGACGGCCCTTGAAGAAAGCACCATCGTTCATCATCCGTTCATCCAAGATCAAGCCCCAACGGCCCTTTGGATCAACAACGTCGACAAATCCACACATCCAACCGTTCTTCAAGATCAAGCCCAAAAACCTTTGAAGATCCGTTCATCACTGTTCTTCAAGATCAAGCCCAAAAGCCCTTGGAGATCCGTTCGTCACTGTTCTTCAAAGATCAAGCCCAAAAGCCCCTTTGAAGATCCGCTCAAATCCACCTTCAAGATCAAGTCCACGGCCCTTGAAGAACGTTCATCCTTAGATCAAGCCCAACGGCCCTTTGGATCAATCACACATCCACAAATACACATCTTACGGAGATCGAATCAGAGGATCAAAATAGAGAGAGATTGTAACCCAAAACCATCAAATACAAATATTTGTTTGTGCACGTCGTTTCTTGTCTCTTTCGTTTCAGGAATTTTCCGTGTTCACAGTGGCATACGAAGAGTCTTTCTCCTTCATTTCCTTGGATTTTGCAAATTTTTCAAATAATGTGGTTATCTATATCCGATGTCACCTAAGATGGTATAAAAATATGATATGAAAGCATAGTATAAATAACATTACTCTTTCTTTTCTTTGGAGGACTCGTTTTCAAACTCTTTGTAGGACTCTTTGACTTTTGCAAAAGAATCACGAGGTTAAAATTATGTTTTCCTTAATCGGTTGTTTTTTTCATTATTTTTGGGGCCAGAAAGGAAAATCTTTGGCATGAAAACAGTCCAAAATCTATGTATAAAAAATATGCCCGTGTACATATTACCACCACAATTCAACCTCCAACG